AGTAAAGTTGCAGGATATAAAATTAACACACAGAAATCCCTTGCATTCCTATACACTAACAATGAGAAAACAGAAAGGGAAATTAAGGAAACAATACCATTCACCATTGCAACAAAAAGAATAAAATACTTAGGAATATGTCTACCTAAAGAAACAAAAGACCTATATATAGAAAACAGCTTTCTTTAAAACTGTTAAAACCTTAAGTGAAATTTGAACCCTGAGATTTACTACAGTGTTGTGCATCCAAACTTAAAACTGCCATGAGCTTCTTTTGATGAAAAGTTTTCTCAGTGGACAACTCCTAGATTTGAAAAAAATCACCTCCAGAAACATTTATTGATATATTCTATGACCAAAGCATTTAACTACTACAATTTGGAGGTGGGGGTGGTGGGGGTGGATGATGCTTGGAGAGTCTTCTTTTATGAAGAAGAAAATCTATGTAGGAATTGACATTAAATCTAAGGTACTCATGAAAATGATGATAAATTTTACTTAGTGAATTCTTGTATGCAACCATTATATGCACATTTTTTCCTGCCCAACACGGCCTTAGTCCAAAAGAAAGGGGAGTTGTGGTCGCTGTGGTGATGCCTTCTCCAGAGCCTCCTTTAAGGTATACTTGTTGCACAAATCTACCTTCAAGGGCAAGCTGCAATTGACAGCACCTTTAGTAGCGGCTTCAGTTGCAGAGAACTTCCTTGTCCAGGGTCATCCTCTTACAAGTGGCCCATATCACCTGATGATGGAGGGTTTATATAAATGCCAGATCATTTCAGCTCACCCAGTGTAGAACAATACTAGCTGTATTAGCTCCAGAATTTCCCCATAGTGTTAGGCATTGGTAGAGATTTTCATCAAGCCATCAGGTCAGCTACTCATTCTGCTAGATCCTGCTGGCTTATTCCACCTTCTGTAGGTGTTGATTCTTCTCAGAGTTCAGCTCAATTGGATAAAATATTCCTCAGAAAATCTTAAATAATATGCTGCTTAATTTTTCCCAATACATCAATACTCATCTTATGATTCTGAGTGGCATGGATTTGGGGCTCCAATCTGGGTCATATTTAACTAAGCTTTCATTCAAGCCAGAAATTTCCAAAGTCATCTTGGTGCCCATGGATAGAAAAGAATAAGTGTGGCTCAGGATAAGAAAAGTGTCCTGATATTTTCATTAAAAAGTGATCTTATCACTCAATTAGAGTATATAACACAATTAAGGCATGGCCCTAACCATTAAGAGGTTGCATAAACACATCTCTTCTGAATGGTTCAGTTTCCTTACAATTAAAACTAAAATTTCCCAACCATGAAGACCACTTTCTTTGCAACTATACACCTAATGGGCCATTTGGAGAGGGCATCACCATGGATACCACAACTCCCCCTTTCATAGCTCAGTTGGTAAAGAGCCTGACTGCAATGCAGGAGACCTGGGTTCTATCCCTGGGTTGGGAAGATCCCTTGGAGAAGGAAATGACAACCCACTCCGGTATCCTTGCCTGGTGAATCCAAAGGACAGAGGAGCCTGGCAGGCTAGAGTCTATGGGTCGCAAGAGTCAGACATAACTGAGTGACTAAGCACACACACCTAATGGCCAAGGTCTGTGTTCATTCCTACCGGAAAAGGTAGTCTCATGCTGTCTTCTGGTTTCTGCTCAGTTACATAAGAATGGACCTTGAGCCTGCAACATTTCCTTAGAAAAGAATTAGAATAGAATATAGGTGCTCTGTTGTGTCTGACTCTTTGCAACTCCATGAATTATATAACCCACCAGGCTCCTCTGTTCATGGAATTCTGCAAGGAAGAATACTGGAGTGGATAGTCATTCCCTTCTCCTGGGATCTTCTCGACCAACAGATCAAACCTATGTCTCCTGCATTGCAAGTGGATGCTTTACCATTTGACCCTCAGGGAAGCCCTAGAGTACTTCCTTACCAGGGAGGGATAAAAGGCCAACAAATCCTTTGTGGGTTTATCACCTTGTGTGGGAATATCTCTTCCTGTTCGATGTTCTTGTACTCTTTTGTTCTGCTTAATCATGTGCATCATATGACATCTGTCCACCTCCAACTGTGATATATCTTGTCCTCTGTTGGGAGTGTGGGGGCAGTGTCCTTCCTTTGTTGCACAAGAAGGGTGCACACAGGCTAGTTGTCCTGCATGGGAACCAGAGAAAGACCTGCTGGCCATGGGGAGTCAATGCCCAGTAGTGAAGCTGATTGTATTCTGTCTCCTCTATATGAGTATTGTGTTATCTCATTCAGTGTTTGACTGAGTTTTGTTTTCCTTAGTGACTCTAATACCAAGATGCTGTGGGCAGAAGTTGCTAGAGTCATACCCTGAGATTGATAACCAGTGCATGGTACTCTGCTTACAATCAACTACTGAATCTTCATACTGAGTCATTCTTATAGAGGAAATTATCTCCCACTTATTTACTAATTCAAAGGATTCTCACCTATGAAATTGAGAGAAAATATACATTCCCAAATTGTCATACAAAATCAATTCTTCATAAGACTTGGGAAACCTAACCTATGAAACTGAGGAGGAACCTGTCAGGCTCCTGGGCCATGGAGATCTTTCACTTGCTTATCAGGGAAGGGAAGGGATGCAGAAACAAGAGAGGAGCAGCCAAGAAACAATAGTGCAGCCTTGGGGCAGAGTCCTGGTCCAGCTTCAGTTCAGTTCAGTTCAGTCCCTCAGTGTTGTCTGACTCTTCATGACCCTATGGACTGCAGCATGCCAGACCTTCCTATCACCAACT